TTCTTTTTCCCGAACACCTACACAATTAATCCAAATAAATCTCAAACAAAAAACAGAGCGTCAATGGGATGAAAAAGACCTTTTGAAACTGTTGGTATTATTACCTAAAATGTTATAAACGATCTCATTACAGAGCTAATTAAGAAACGCGCCTTTCTTCTGTCGGGCAGGACGAGGCGGCTGCAGCCCTGCCGAGGCCACTCCATGACAAGAGATCCCCAGCAATTCCTCCCCAGGGCAGAATGAGGCCAGTTTAGCTCTTTGATTCTCCTCGCCAAGCCCCCTCATGTGTTTTCGGTTTGCCCAGGACCAAACGTTTCCTGTTCCACACGTTTTGTCTGACAGGGATGATGAGCGCCCCGATGAAGTTCTCACTCAGCCAACGCAAAGCTTCAGCAACACATAGCAGCCCCAAACCAACTCCATGCCCACCTCCCACTTGCCCCTTGGAATAAAGCAGTGCTGCTCCCCAGCTATCAGCTTCCATCGGTGCCTCACACCTCAGCGTGTGCTAATGCCACAACTTCCACCTGAATCTTGTTTTTTTTAAAAATTGGTATATACATTTTTTTATTCTCTCTGACTGCTTGCACTTCCCTGTCCAAACTCCAGATTACAGTTCCACTTCCTCTAGCACATTAATATAATCTCCGAATTTTAAAGAAAGGCAAAGTGAAGCTTCCCCAGGTCCCCTCCTGCAGGCAGGGCGCTCCGCTGAGCATCCCGCTGCTGCCTCGCTTCGCACGTATGTCTGCGGTCGGTGCACACGCCGGTGTCTCATGCTCAGAAGATAAGATGAGCTGCCAGGAAAAACAACATATTGGGAAACCTGTATTTTATGAGCCTGTACCTCTAAGTGTGTGCATGTACTTCTGAGCTCCATTCTATCTTCTTCCATATTCCTGGTAATCCAGTAAATTGTGTTGTAAATCTAAATGTTAGGCTCTCTTTCCTCATTTTTAGTGTTCATGGCTCATTAAGTTCTTCCTCCTTCTTTTAACTGTTACTTACTTCAGGTTTAAAATGAAAAAACTATGAAAAATGAGTATTAGAATCTGGCTGCAATTTCCAATTCCTAGCTAGTGCTGCTAGGTTGTGGTTTTCAAGTCCTGCATGTACATGCCAAATCTAATCTAGTAAATCAGCGGATTCTTAGCAGTAATGGGAACGATAGGTCAAGTTTCTAGAAACAGCTAACAAATGCTGATTAATGCACAGGATCAGTTCCTGTGCAACTCATTACACTCACAGCTGCAATGAAACTGTCCTCCCTTCACAGCTTTGTGCGGGGCATAAAAGTGAAAATATTTCTGGTCTACATAAGTAGCAGGCCATGAATATTAAACAAGCCTGTATTATTAATCCTGTGCCATTAGTCTTGGATAGTCACAGCAGAACTGACCCCCTAGACGGAATGGTTGCTGCCATCTATTTTTCATTCAATACTACCCGCGCTGAAAACTCACCCAGCAACTGAATTATTTGATATTTTAGAACAGAATGTAAACAGCGTAAAAACCAAAGCAACATCGGGGAACTATAAATTCTTTGCAAGTTATTTTCAGAGACCTGAGATTCATTCCTCACTTATGAGAAAACACTCGTGAGGAAAGGAGAAGCATTTCTGCAGTAGGGGACACCTGCAGTTCTGAGGAGCACTGCTGGGAACACCGACATCCTGCTGTTCACTGCGTGCTCTGCTCATTGTGGGCAACACGCCCTACCTGCATGCATGCAGCCATCAGCTTTTCCTCGTGGCTGCTTGGAAGCTCAGCCCTCCAAAATTAAAGCAAATTACCCGGCTCTATCTGCAGAGGGGCAGACCAGCCCTTGCCATCACCTCGCGGCCAGTCTGTAGCACGATGAGCGGTGTCCTGCACGTCCTGCTGGACTGGGGTTTGCACTGCGTTTAGTGTTTGCAAGCTCTATTTACTGAGGAAATTTATTATTAAAAAAAAAAAAAAAACTAGGATGCTGACACATCTCTTTGGAAATACAGAAGAGGAGACAGCCACGACACAGGCAGCTCCTGGCACGGGGCAGAGGGAACTGAGCCTGGGCCAGAGGCACCAACCCGCACCCTGTGCCCGGCCTCGTGGCGCAGCACTGGGGACAAAGAAATGCAGCACCCTGCTCGTGATTTTCTGGCAGGGTTCCTACTCACCCTTGTTATTGAAGCTCACGTGTGACCACACACTTTGACGCTCTCGTTGGCAATAGCCATTGAAGTATAAACTCAGCCATAAGCAGCAGCTTCCGCGCAGGCTATTCACGCGTCTGTCCTCGGAGCTTTCAGCTGGCTATCTGCTTATTTCACCGAGTTTTAACCTTTAAGCTCTTGGTTTTTGAAAAAGCTTTTTAAAAGCAACTCTGAGACCTAATTGGCTCCAATTTGAAGCCTTGATCCTGTAAATGAATGGCTCTAGAAATCAAACAATGTATTTCCAACAAAAACAAAATTGCCTGCTATAAAAGCGGAATGGTTTTACGATAATATTGACTTTAACATGCTGTCAAGGCAAATCTACAGCACAGATGAAAATATCCCTCCCTCTTTTAAGGTCCTCCAAATCCAGCTGCTGAGAGGGGACCCTGAATGCTCATCCAAGTGCATGTTTCATGCCCACGGTAACGTGATAATTTCATAAGTTATTTAAAATATATATCTAAATTTTAAAATTTACACACCACGCTCTCAAGCACTATCCCAAATGGTACCTGGTCCTCACACAAATGACTGCAGCAGTGACACGGGACCGCACAAAGAAAGAACCGGGGCCTCCCAGGGACCCCCCAGCCTTCTGGGCCAGTGGTGAGCCGAGTGGTTCTTCTCTAACTGTACACGTGCAGCTTTCCTGAGAGCTGTTTTTGACACTGAGATCTGTATTCCCAGCTACACGGAGATTCCCTAACTCCTTTTAGAATTACGCTGCCATCTACATCCCATATTGCTTAATATTTACCAACAACCTTTGAGGAAAGCGAGCACCGAGATGAAATTTAAATGTGACAAAAGGCATTTCCGAGTCAGCATTAGACAGACTGCAAAACCAGCTGGGTGAATGATCAACACGAGAGAAACAAAGTATGTTGTTGGAAAAAAATGCAAAGTAACATGCACTGAAAGAGGAACATGCATTATTCAGAGAGCCTGCAAGGTTCTGAGTTAATGGCATCACCTCCAGGTGATCTCAGATCATCAGAGCATCGGTGCATGCAGCACGAGAGAGACCTCTGCTCAGCGTGCTGGGGGGTTACAGAGAAGGAGTCAAACTGCAAAAGGAATGGGATGAAGTAATAAAACAACAGAGTGCCTTCAGGTGATCCAGTGGTGCTGTTTTACCTGGAACATCGCATGCGGTACACCCGGTCACCTGTTCACACAAAACACCCTCAGAACAAAAAAGGGCGAAATAAGAGCAAATCAAGACGGGCCAGATATAAAAAGCTCACCCGTAAAGACAGGCTACCAGCTACAGGCTGTCCTTTTCAGAAGGGCTATGACCACAGAAGACCTGATAGCCCATCCAGCGCCCAGTTTGACCAGGCAGCCACCCCTGCCCTACCCCAGGAGAGTGTTGTGCTGTGTGCCTGATGAAACAGAAGCCATCTGTGGTTTTGGTTTATAACCAGGATGCCGCTGCCGGGGCTGAAATGGGATAACACACGGCGCTAGCACGCCTACCTTCAGCCAGGCTGAAAGCAAGACCTTCAGAGCCAGGTTTCTGTCCCTTCAGCAGCGCTCAACTGCCATGTGAGCAAAGCTGGACCTGGGAGCACTACAGGGAGTTCAGGGCTGATGCGATGACTTTCAGAAGGTTACATGTATATATAACCAGCTGTCAAGGCAGAATACATTAGTCACTGGATAATTATTTTAAAGGCAGATTTTCTTTTACTCCCTGGGACACTTAATTTCACTATATAGTTTCCAGAATGGTAGCCACTTACGGAGAAGAAGAAAGAGAATTTAATGAATTAAAGTGCACTTAAGTTATGGAAAACTAACTGAAAATCCTGTATTAATTGGACATAATTGAGAATCCAACCCTGCCACTGTTTTGATTATGAACTGCAATTTATGGGCACATATAAATTAGCAGCTACCTCCTCCTGAAGTGACCTGCTGAGAACAAATTACTTGGTCACCTAATGCCTGTTAATGTTTTCTCTATTTTTATGGGGGAAGTATCAAGGTTTACCTTTTATTTTCCCTTCCTGTGGATTTTGCTGCCTTAACTGGCCCCAATTTACCTTGTAATCGTTCTAAAGAAATGCCAGCTCAGGGATCCCTGCTCGCCAGGACACAACATGCATGCTCAGCATCCATTAGAACAACTCAGTTACAAAGCCCACGTCAATGAGAGAACAGGCTCCTAAATGCGTGTGCAGTACAGAACTGGCTAGGTTTACATTTTTTTTTTTCCTAAAAATAAAAATTAAAAAAAAAAAAAGCCAGACAAATGCAGAATGCTGGGGATCCCCATCAAGGCAGCAGGGCTCGGGCCCTTGTAGGTTCCTTCCAGCCAAACCATTTCCATTCTGCTTCACCCACAGGGGATGGAAAAAAAAGAGAGAGAATCCCCCATGCACCCCCCCACCTCAGTTACCTCTCTTCTCCCAGGGGAGAGGCTCCACCTGAGAACCTGCATTTTGGAAGAGAAACGTACTCTCTCTGTTCAAGAAGCCCCAAATCCTCCCCTCACAGATCCACAGTGGGGTTTGACTCTCAGGAAAGCCTTGTTTTGGTGAGATTTGCACGTAATTGTTGTCAGAGGTCTCCTGGATTCCTTTGGAACAGGGGAGCTCCCAAATCATTGTGTCTGGCACCGAGTGCTGTGCTGCCAAGAGAGCCCTCTGGCAGGCTGAGATCTCCCAGCTTCTCACGTGCATTTTAACAGCATTTGATTAAAAAGAGTTCAGGAGCACCGGGAGCTTTAAGGAGCAGGAAAAGCAGCAGAAGTGATGCTTCCCCTTGCCCACTTTTAGCAACACCAGAGATCGGAGGGCCTCTGTTTGCTGGCCGGGGCGGTCTGGGTGCGATGCTCGCTCCAGGGACCCAGCTCAGGGGCACAGGACTGCAAGGTGCAGCCTCTGCTCCTGCAGGACCCTTCCACAGCAAATGCAGCCGGCCCTCCAGGGTGCCCAGGGCTGTCAGGGCACAGCCTGGCGCCTGTGGGTGCAAACCACAGCCTGCCTCATGCTTCGTTCCCCTGCTGCGAAGGGAAGCTTCTCCCGGTCAGATTTACACTGAGGAATTTCTATTTAGTTCTCAGCTCTACTCTCCAACTCCAGTTACATTTGTTACACGCTGTATTCCATCACTTAATGTATGCAAATTATTTTAAATATTTCATTCATTAAATGGCTCGTTTTATTACTGAACTGTACCTTAAGCTGTTCAGAAATTTCATTCTTCTTGCACTTACTCAGTAATGTGAAATAACCAACTTAAATGAATATTTTACAGTTTGTGCTAGACAGAACATTTATTAAAAATTCTTTCCCTTTTGGAGTTATTCTTTTAAGTGGGCTTCAATGCACTATGCAATTTAAATCATCGAGAAGGAATGTTCTTTTTTTTTCTTTTTAATTTTTTTTAATTTCTTTCAAGTTTATTTCACTGCCAGTGCGGAGGAGCCCAACAACCTACCGAGGGCTCAAACGTGAATCTGATGGAAGAAATAACAGCTGGAGAGCTATTTTCGGGGTGGCTACATGCCTGAACAAACCTGTGGTCCACACAGATCTGCCCTGCACAGCGGCAGTGGGGTTGGGGAGAGCTGTGCTCTGCCTGGGGCTGGGTGCCCCGAGCACCCCCACGGCACCAAACCAGCCCCAAGGCAGCTGCCGGGGGGTGCAGCCGCCCTCCCCTTCCTCTCCAGGCTTGCCAGGGACTCTCGAGGTGTTTTAAGTGAGCAGTGAGGACAGCTGCTGCGGCTCCATGTCTGTCTGAACCGGGCTCTGGGGAACACTTGGGAACCAGAGACACGGGGAGAGGGAGATCGCCGACTGCAGCTTGCATCTGCCCACTTACCAGAACCCCCAGCATCCAGCCCAAGGAGCAGCTTCTTGGCCCTTTTAAGCTAAGCGAGAGGAGGAAAGTAGAATTTCAGAGCCTTTTTTTTTTTTTTCCTATTGCTGTAACTTATAGATAGCTTTGCTATTTAAAAATGACATAACTCCTGCAGCAGTCCATACCGTGCCGTGAGTCCTTGGGGAATTTAATAAACGTAATTTGAAGTGATGGGGCTCTAATGCCTGAGAATCGTCCCCTCCTGCGCATGCTATTATCATCCATACGTAAGCCAGACATGTTCTTAAAGTGGGAAAAAAAAAAAAAGGTGCAATTACAGGGGAGGCTGAAGTTATTTCCAGCATTACTGAAAGCTAACACAGCAGCGTCCTCACTAGTTGTGACAAGGTCATTGCTGTTTCTAACCGAGGGAACACGTTCCGGCTAACAGACGAGTACAGTTTGGCAGCTCCCAGTCCTAAAGATCATAACGTAGATCGTCTTCCCCAGGCATTTATACAGAACAAAATACACTCTGATTTATGTCAGAACCTGTCGCTTTTTGGCAGATCCCACAGCCCAGAGGGTGGCGGACTAAAAGCAGACCCAGGGGCAGCCCCACAAGCCGCAGAGCCCCTACGGCCACGTGCCACTGCTCTTACTGCATCTCAAGACAAAGACAAGTTTGCAGCCTCTACTTTTCATTAGTATTCAACAGATAGCTCCAGGGGAAAACCCTGGACGCTTCAAGCCATTTTTAACCGCTGTGTAGCTGCCACAAACGTATGAACTTCCGCGCTTAAGGTAGATGTAGCCAGTTAAAAATAATTATTGCGTGAGCTCTGGCATCCAAAAAAGTCCTTGGTCAGCGACCCAGGGAAACGTGGCTCCCTCTTAGGCTTGCAAACATCTCCCAGGATGGAGAGGTTTACAGCCTCCGCGGGGAGCAGTAACAGAGCAGACACCCTTTAACCGGGAGTCCTCATAAATCTCGTCTGGGAAAAACCTTTCAATTTCCAATGGAAATATGCAAAACAGACTGCACACTGTAAATCTTCCTTCTCGGCTCTAAGGAGATAAGTAGGACCTATTAACCTTCCATGTTATTTTCAACTTCATTATTTGAGCTGACACGACAAGAGAGAGCGGTGACGGCTCTTTTTGGCAGAGTGCATGTAAATCGCTTTCTCAAAGGAAATTACTTCTCCAGGCTGAACGTTATTAATCTAAATTCTCCGTTAGGCAAATCCTTGCCCATAATAAACACGGCACAGGTCGCGATGCTCATCTCCGAGGGCATCCTGTCCCGGTGGCACATCTCCAGGGGGGCTGCCCTGCCCCAGTGGTCTTGGCATGGAAAGCTGGAGGCCTCCTGGCCCAGACACCTGCAAGGGGAGCGAGGCCACCATTCACTGGCATTTGGCTGGTCTTTGCTCCTGAATCTCCATGAGGTCATGGGGATCTTTGTCCTGGAGTCTTCCGATCCGCTGCCGAAGCACCCTCCCCGCTTGGGACATTTCTCTTCGTATCTCACTTACGTCTCCTCCGCTGCACATTAAGCCGATTATTTTTCATCTGATCCCTGGCGTACACAGAAGATCACTCCTCGTCTTCTCTTTATAGCAACCTTTTTAACTCTGGGAGATTTATCACGTTACGTTAAGCCTCAGGTAATCCTTGGTGCAGCCCCGTGCACCAAGGGTCAGACGGGGCACGGCCAGGCTGAGGAAGAGGAGGCAGCACGCCATGGTGCACGACGGCTCCTCCCCAGTCACATCCCGTTTACATGGGTTTCTGCAGCAAAATTTCTGGACTTGATGAGTTTATTATGCTCTGTCCAGTGTATGACCAACAGCATCCTCCTCCTGTAACTAAAACCCTGAAATCCAGGCAGTAACAGGTCAAAGATCATAAAGACTCTGAACTTCTCCAGAGATACAGCTAGAAAATAGAAATTTTGCATCCTAAATTATTTGGGGAGTTATAGATTAAGGCGAGTTTTATTTGCACAATATTCCTTCTTTTTATTGAGAATCAGCTTATCGCCAATAAAGATTTTCACTAAAAATACTCACAGAACATCTGCTTTTTTTCCCTTCCATAAAAATCACGCAGTCCTTTCTGCTCGAACATAACCACGCTGCAGGCACAGCACCGAGTGTCTTGGTGGCCTCGAGCACAGGGGGGCCACATCCAGCCCTAAAGGGACCCGCGGGTGTGCTTGGCACCTCTCGGAGCCAGTCTCCACACAACCTGCACGCGCACAGCCACATTTTGCTACAGATCCGTCTGCAAAATCCTGCTGGATATTTACGTTAAATTGACACTCGTTTCAAACTGCTTTTTTCTCTCTCCTCCTAACAATAGGCTCCATCAAGCCTCCGTCTCTCGCAGAGGCTGAGGAACGCTGTTGTTTCTTCTGGGCTTTTCCAGGGTAATTGCACAGCCTTCAGAATCTATTCTGGGAGCTGTAGGTCATTAAATGAGTTTCCATCTGCGTCTCCACCACCTAAGAACTATTACTTTGTACGATACTTGGCTTTTCATTGTGTGCGAGTCAGACTGTTAATTTGCAGCGTGCAGCACGGGAAGGAAGGTTTCGACGGGAGCCGTTCGGTGCGGTGAAGCCAAGCTCCCCCCGGGGCACCGGGTGCAGTCGTGCCCACGCCAGGGGCATTGCAGCGGGGCCACCAACACCGGGCTGCTCCCCAAAAGCTGCTGGGCTCAGCTGGGCAGCGCTGGGTCAGCCCTTGTCCGAGGTGCATGAAGAGGGTGCAAGGCACCTACTGATGCAGCTGGGTGAGACGGATGCAACCCAGAACCTCCCCTCATGTCAGCATGCAAAGAACTCTGCGCCCTGCAATGGGTCCTCAAGGTCTCTCACCCATCTCACGTGAACTGTGCCACTTTCAGACGGGAATCGAGTTTTAAAAACAACAAAAAACCCTTGAGCTTCTCTATGCATGCCAGTGACTCTGTTTGAATCCCAAAATGTCACGAGGGGAAAAAAACGCACATGCAGACCCAAGAGCTGTGGCTTTGACCAGGGACACCACAGGCAGAAGTAATGGCCGGGGCCTCTCCAAGCTGCCCACACAGTGCCCAGAGCAGTAAACCTAAGAGACTTCCCATGGAACAACCTAACCATGGCAATGCCCAGCTCTGCCCCTGCTGCTCCGAGCGAGCAACGCGTTGTACGAAAGGCAGTATTTGAAGCAGAAAGAGTTAATCCTCCAGCAGCCGTAGGTTAGGGGAGATTAAGCTTTGGCACATACAGAGGTATAGAGTATATTCAGAGCATTATAAATCCACTGGTACAGAAAGCCCTTTTCCTCATTTGTTAGTCAGCGAAGTGTGAAAATGTTAATGAAGGGAGCTATAATCTATGAGAATTTCACTATTAAAATTTAGTTCACGTCTGACGGCTTCTGCTTACGCGCAGCCCATTGTACATCAATCCTTCCACTGTGCTACTAATAATAGACGTAATTGCCTTACTCTGTCTAGCCACCTTCACCCGGCAACGCTCAGATTTGCTGGAACTGTTATTGTAGAAATTATTTTCATTCTATTAACTTGAAGCTTTATTACACGTATTCCTAAAAGAAAATAAATGCAGAGATTTTAAGCGCACAGCTACCCCCCTACACGAGTATTTTTCAGATAGAACACGATGACGACGAGCGCTGAAGTCAGGCGATGTCACAGCACCAACACCTGTCCCTAGGCTTGTGCAAACACCAACTCCTAGAAACATTTTTTTCCCTTGTTGTTCAGAGACGTGAACCCTCACAGCTTTACCACGGGCCGAGAGCGCCGGGCACCCTACCAAGGAGGGTATCGAGCAACCGATGCAGACCAGCACGGCGTGGAGACTAAGCCACACAGGTCAACCCCTAAATTTGAAAAGAAGATTCTGATTTTCTTAAGAATTCGGCTTCTCGTGAGTATTGTTTTAATGCCCCTCAATCCATCAACCATCCCAGACCAGTCCTGAGTTACCTGAAAGTGGCTGGCATATTTATGAGAGCTAATCACAGCAAAGCTGCATTTCTATCATGATACACGGACAGGCACAGTCCCCTCGTGGCTCTTTGTTGTGCAGGAATTTGTTCTTGGGGATTCATTCTCAGCTCAGAAGACAGATCAATTCTGCTTTCTCCGAGCCCCTTGGATACCTCCTGCAGGTACAGAAACGCCGTGCTGGAAACAAGCACAGGTGGGTGCTGTGCCCGCTTGCACCAACGCTCACCTTCGGGCCACAGAGCCAGGACACACGGCGGAACACAGCAGTGCCCCTGCCCAGGGCTTGCCAAACTTTGGGTTGGGGGCACAACTTCATCCCTTTGGTGGAAGTCTCTGCTGACCCCCAACAAGTGGCCAGGTCTGCCTGCCTGAAAGCAGCCCCTGGCTGCTGGTGGTCAGGGAATGGGATTCAGAGAGGAGATGGAGACGGGCAGGCAGCACCCAGACACCGCATGGCACAGCAGGACAAACACCCAGGGTCACTGCTGCCAAGTGCTTTGGAGGCCAAACGTTCCAGGAAACCTTGCTTAGCAGGAGGTGCACCAAAACACACCTGCTTTGAAGCACAGAAGCCAACAGAAGGCATTTCCACACTCGAGGCTCAAGCCAGTGGAAGCTCCTGCAGGACGAGGGCTCCTGGGTGCTGAGCCCGCAGCACCCACGGGATGCGAGGAGGGCACTGCCTGCCCAGCACCCTGGTTCCCCGTGCAGGTTCCCCGCTTGGCAGCACCTTGGTCATGCTAAAGCAGGGAAGGAGAACAGCACAGCCCTGCAAGGACCAACAGCGCAGCTCCTGCTTGCTCTGCATCCTCCTTGGCGAGCCATACATCCACCGGCTCCGCTTCCCAGCTCAGCGCTCACCTGCAGATTTACAAAAGCTCCCCGAAGCTTCCCTCTAGTATTTTGCCATCCTTTTTCCTGCCTCTACTGCTTTGCATTACACTTTTTCCAGGGAAGACTGATAACTTTTGAGGTGTCGCTGATAATAAATGCGTTATTCTCCAGCCATGAGCAGCGGCGCACAATGAGCACGCGGGCAGGAGCTGCTGAGCAATGCGCAGCACAGCGTCTGCTGCAGGGATGAGGATGCTATCCTAATGCAATTTGCAGTCAAAGCAGAAATGTATCATTGTAGTAAATGGGAGAGAAACAGCAGCAGCAATCTGTCAGCAGCAGCCCCAGACAGAAGATGTGCATCTCTCTTTTGGCAGAGAATCGAGGGAAAAAGAACATACAATAAAATGAAGGCATGCTCTCCAAAAATTACTTCACTACCACAGCCGTGTGATTTTTAATTTTCCTCTAATTTCAGGACTGCAGCACTGATATAAAAATTCCTATAAGTGTTTTAGGGAGATGGTAATGGTCCTATACTAAAATAATTCAACCAACACTATAATTTTAGTACCACTATCAAAATGAAATAATGGCTGTTTACTATGTTACACCTTTCAAATGACCTTCATTTGAATACAAATTGTGGCTTGAAATTCTAAAAGCTGCTCTATTTCAGGAGGCAGCAAATTGAGGATGTTTACCCAGGGTTTACTCTTCCAGTAGATTTCTCAGTATAACCACACAGACTAAATGGTTTTTTTCCTCCAAAGCTGCTGGAGACCACCTTAAGGGACCAGCACAGATCCGAGCAGGACCCCAAGCAATGCGGGGTGCAAGGGGCCATAAAGCCCCTGCACCGAGGAACCCCATGGAGCCCTCTGCCTCCCCAGGCACCCAGCCCGGGGATGGTGCTGCAGAGGGACCCACAGCCCCTGCTCCTCTTCACTCCTGAGCAAAATCTGCTCTCCATTTAAACTGGAAATTTGGCACGGTGATGTATGCCCGTTTGGGGGGTTCCCATACAAACACAAGAGCACGCAGCTGACCCCACTCCCTGGGGATGGCGCTGCTCCTGCAGCACGGCGCTCCCCATGAGCCAGGGAAGGTTCCTGCGTGTTTTGAAGCACACCGAAGAGAATTTATTATTGGGAAGGAAAACCCTGAGCTTGCCCTGTTCCCCCAGCTCCGGGAGGAAAGTCGCCCAGATGTTCACCAGCCCAAGGTGTTTTATTTTTTCGTGGCTCTTTGCTTGTAAGGGCCCTGCAGAGGGGAGAGTCGCCCTAACAGCAACCAGCGATATAAAAAACTCACTGAGGGTCTAATAATAAGCAGTGTCTTTTCAATTAACCATAAAGTAAAATTACCTGAGTCACTGTGCTCACAAGCATTACCGGTACTACAATTCCTCTAGAAACCCCTTTGAAAAGGAAAATTCTCCTACAATTTTTCTAACATCCCATTGTCATTTCTAATTAAAGTTGCATTAAAAGCCGTGAGAGGATGGCACACACTGTACCTTTATTACCTTTCATAGCTGGAGTGCTACAAAGGGAAAATTTCCACACTCCAAAAATACAGAGTATCTGTAAATACTCCCACTCTAAGACACCCACACGTAATTACTCACAGAGTGAGGGGGAGGAAGAAAAACCCACAGCTGTGCCTCCCCTCCCAGCAGACGCTTTCACCGCCCCTTCATCACCTCCAGGGCATCCGCTCGCCCCCGCTCGGGGTCCCCGGGCGCGAGGCTGGAGGGAGAGGAGGGGGACACGGCGCCTTCGGGGAGGAAGATGCACATCGGGGATGCGGATAGACAGAGCAAATCAAAGGGTGTTTTTTTTTAAATCCTTCTCTCCACGCACAAAGGCTGTTGCAGGGAAAGCCCTGGCTTGGCTGGAGTTTCAGGAGGGGAAGGGCAGTGCGTGGTGCAGCAGCAGGAGGGAGGACAGCCCGGCCGGGGACCCAAGCGAGGGCACTTCTGTGCTTGGCAGCAGCCGCTGGTGCTGACCTCTGCCCCGTTTTGGGGTGAATGCAAGGGAAATCCCAGCCTCCCCCGGCACGCTCCTGCCAAGCCGTGATGCAGCAAAATGCAGGAACAGCAACAAGAGCAGAGCGCCTGCAGCCCTGGAGCTCAGCAGTGCTGCTGGGGTGCGCCTGTCCGATGCTTTTGTGCATCTGGAAGGAGAAGCTCGTTCCTAACAGACCCCAGATATTGTGAATTAACAGAGCTTTTAATAGTTCCATGCTTACAGCCTGGCCACAAAAAGCAAGAAGAACGCTCCCAACCTCCAGCAGGCACCAGCGAGCTCCTCCTGCAGCTCTGCTGGCAGGAACATCGGCTGCAAGGCTCCACAAACCTCCTCGAGGCACGGATGGAGCAGAGGCTTCACAGGGCGAGCTCCCCGTCCCTGCTGAGCATCTTCAGCAGCGACCCCAGGAGCTGTGCCTCGTCCCGCTGCCCACGCAGTCCCCTGGGGGAAAAGCTTTGCCAAGGCGACTCCAGCACACGCCTGCTGGCAGGTAACACCACCGACTGCTCTGACTCTGGTTCTGTTTGAGTTCAGAGAGGTCGAGGATTTGCTTTACTGGGCGCTCCGACTTTTATTTGTGAGCGCAGATAAAACACTGCTGTGATAAAAGAGTGGGGGCAGCATCTCACCAGGGCAAGGCTGCTCCCCGCTGGGATGCTGCTGCTTGTGCCTGGCCTTGGGGAAGGTCGCCCCCAGGACAGCTCTGCCTTAATCGTGACAGCCACTCACCCAGCTGCAGGACGAGGAGAGAGCAAAGCAGCCAGAGATGTTTTAGCAGGAGATGCTGAAATTACGCGCTTCTCCTTCACCGTGACATTGTTGAGAAATAAATGTGCTTTAAACAATAGGTGTTGTATAAAGCATCCGAAAACAAGACAAATTAGTCATTAAAAATTAATTTTAGAAAATTACAGCCTTGTTAATAGACACTGTTACAGCTTCGCACATCCCTTTCTGGGCAGGAGGAGGGAGGAAGGGGATTTAAAACACATTTTATTGTATTTCATCAAAAATTGAAGAGATGGAGATAAATGTCTTTGCAAGCCTGTGTTTCTGCATTGCACACATCCACAACCCGAGTAGATTTGCATTTGCAATTCACACTCGCAAGGAGGAAAAGCCATTACACGGAGCGATTTTCTCCTCTTATCACAAGCTTTCCTCCCCTCTCCCCCCGACACTCCCCAGCCTCCCCGTTTGCTGCATTTTGGGGGTGTTTCGGTGTTGTTTGACATCACTCTGCAGGAGATACACACCTGGAAGCCTGGGTCCTGACAGCCCACTGCCCACAAATGCCTGTGCCTTCCCCCTCTGATGCACTTTTTGCAGAGCTCAGGCCCACCCCAGGGCGCAGGGCGACCCTCTGAGCAACCTCACTGCAGGGGGGATAAAACCAAGAAAGGTTTTTGCACCAACCCCAACCAGGTGGGAACGGCACGATGGACAGCACCACAGGCGGACAGGCGAGGATTTCTCCTCCTTGCACCAACGCCCCTACAACAAAACCACTTGCAGAACGCGCTGAAGAATCCCTGCCATTATTTTCACGTTCTCAACAGCAAGGACTACAGCAAAATACTCAAGGTCAAGAGACCAGCATGGTTCTAGGCAATCTGTACCTCTTAAAACAGTGACAAATATGTTATTTAATTTTAATGAGCTTTTTTGCATCTCAAATCTAATTACAGCATTATCAAGTACTGCTCTGAACTGCAGGTGGCTTCTCATTACTTGTGGTAGGGCTGTCACAAGCATTTTTCATGAATACTAAAAACTGCTTAATTTTACTACGCATTTGAAACTTTCCGGCACGGGTCTCCAGCGATGCACCCAGGGGTCAATCACACCGCAGCAACGCTCCCGCACCCACCTCTGCAGGAACAAGAGGCCACCACCACATGCCTGGAGCGTTGTGCCCAAAATCCCTGTTTTTTAGCCTGTTGCTCCCCTGTAGGATTTCTGTTCCCTGCAGCTAACGGGGCACAGCCCCACAGGGGGCAGAATGTCCTGTGAAATGACACGAGGAGACCGCTCTCTTCCAGGTCCCTTCTAATCTTCACTTCCAGTTTAACATTATTTTTTTTTTAAGTTATTATTAAAAGCACAATGTTTCAAGGTGAGGAAGCGCTCCGGTGTCAAATAGATTTTGGCAAGAGCAAAGTATTTCATTTTTCCTCTTAACCTTTACGAAAATCAGATTTTCCTGATGGTTTCTGGCCAATTCTTTTGACCACCTCTACTGATTGCTGCTTCCTCCATATGCTGCAAATCTGCTGGAATCGGTGGTTAAAAGCTCCTGTTTAGCAACCATCAGGAAGCAGCTGAGAATTAAATGTTTGGTCCTCCTGGAAAACCTTTTCGGAGTTGTTTGGTGAACAAAGGCTCCATGCAAATGAAAACGAAGCCCCAGTAGTAACTTCACCTCTGACAAAGCGTGAAATTGCAGAGGAAAACATTCAGGAAACCCTCGAGATGCAGCCCGCAGGCCCAGCCCCACACCGCGTACGTGAAGTGCCTCGCTCAGGGGGATGTTTATTGCGGTTTTAAAAAACTTTTATAAAAAATTAAGAACTACAGTCACTCCCACACACAACACCCTTACTGGAATTGCTTGGGGATTTTAGCACGCTTTCGGCTCAGCCCCGCTGCAGTCGCTGCTGGGAACAGCGAGCAGCAGGGACGGGAGCAGGGCACAGGCAAAGCCGGTGCTAACACGGAGGGGGAATTCCTGGAGGGCACAAGGAGGGGAAATTCCCATAGAATTTCCTGGGGATACCCCCAAGAAGGCTGGGGGCAGCTGACAGGAGATGCCCCAGCACCACACCCCCCTGCTTTCTGCACAGGCTGCGCTGCCCCCGGCATTAACACCCACTGCAAGCGATAAATAATACAAATGCAATAATACAAATAATTAATAATTAACACGAACGCAAGAAAATTTGTTCCCAAGAATGAATCTTGACACGACCGCTAATAAGTCTTTATGCTGCCTGCCCCGGAGGGGCTCTGCTGGGAACAGGCGGCACCGGGGCAGAGCTCGCGGAGAGCCCCGTGCCCAGGATGCTGCCGGCAGCCGATTGCTGCTGCTGCTGCTCTGCACCTTCACCCTGCCCACTTCACGTCCTTCTCATGGCTCGTGACGAAAAGCACGAGGCTGCCCAGGTTTTTAATTGACTCTTCTGGCGGGCGGCGTCCTTGTGGATATAAAGAGGAACTCGTAATTTGCTCTGGCAGCACGCTCACCTCTGCTCGTCTGCCTTTGTGCAGAAGTTAATTCTGCTTTCCTGCTTCCTGTTTTTACGCACGCTTAATTGTTGTGCTGCGTCAGCTGCAGTGAAGCTCACGGCAGGGTGTTTCTGCTCGAAGTGTACGCTCGCATTAGTGGCGTATCGAGCAATATGACAGCGATATTCTGGAGTTAATTACTCCGTACAGCACCACAAAGACCCCGCTGCTACAGGCGAGAGCCATCCCCAGAAACCTCCTCTCTCCCTGTAGATGGTTACCTGCCACTCTACATTTCTGCCAGCGTCACCAAACACACGTACACGACCCAGGAAAGCTCGGGGCACAGCTGAAGCAGCAGCACCGTTACTCTCAGCCCCATTATTCTCAGCCCCGGACCCGCAAGGCAATGGGGAAGCCCTGCCGAGGGGGAAAAGGAGCCACAAGGACAGGGCAGGGGGGAGAACAAAGGCAGAGCAGGGGCTGGATGCCCAGGACCCTCCCTGTCGATACAAACTTCCCTATTAACATGGGGATTTGTTTTTAAAGGGCTTGGTGGAAAGCACTGTGGGTTGCAGACAACAGCAGTGAATTATGCAACAGCCCGCATACATTATGTGTTCCTACATTCCCGGTAATGAAAAACAACATTTTCTACCTTGGCAATTTCCACAGACACGACACTTCTGTTATCTAGGAGTTACAGAGCATATTATTAATCCACGCGTTACTGCTCCCAACACAGGCAACCAGCATCCTACAGCAAAGTTTGAAGCCCCAATGCCAACAAAGCACATCCCACCTCCCCTACAAAGTCCTTTTTTACCCCCAAACAGCCCAAGCTGCAGGAGCACTGCTCCAGGGAGCGCGCAGGCTCTGCCCCACGGATGCTGCTCCATTTCAGGGGACCCCAGCGCGATTCGGGCTGCCTGGATCCTGTTCTGCACCCCGGGCAGTGCAAGGACTGGGACAAGGGAAGGATGGGGGAAGGCTTTGGGGTGATAGCCCACGCTTCTCAGAACAAAGATTTGTGTTAGGAGGGAACTGGAGACCCCAAGGGCAAGCACAGCACCAAGAGCCTTAACTGGGGAGAAACGGAGCTGGGCAGAAGCCCCAGCAGCTGGAAGCACACAGGTTGAGATGCCTGACACCAGCACACACCAACACAGCCCATACAGCACCTGCAAAGCACACTGCACGCTCCCAACACACTGAAGCTCCCCACACAGCGTGCGGCTTTGTATTAAAACATAAAATGCTTAATAAAAGTTAACGCAGGAGGAACACGCAGCTACCTGCAGTTGGGCCTTGTTAGCACCTGCTGCTGCAGCGCCACTGAAAAGCTCCTGAGGACATCCTGCTTCCCCTGACCTTGATGCAAACCCTGATTCTGGTCCCAAAATTTCTCTCCCCTTTAAGGGCTGCCTCCAATGATTGCTTGATTAGATTTGCCTGCACACCACCAAGCTGCACCCTGCCAGCTGGGTGCTGGGGGGCCAGGAGCTGCCTCCCTCCTCGGTGCCCCCAGCCCCGCAGGCACTGAGCAGGGCCACGGCCCCCCCAGCAGCACGGCGGTGCCACGAAGGGCGAGGGCAGCCCTGGGTTTGCTGCTCCAGAGGATGGGACGGGAGGAGAGGAGCTGCTGTCCCAGGGGGATGTGCACACAAAAAGTGTGCCCATTCTGCCAGTAACTGGTTCTTAGTGTATGCTGCATCGCTTTGGACTATCCTAACGCGTGCCAGTTTGCACTGAGATTTATGGAGATGGTGCCAGAACTGCTAAAATGGGGAATTACCAGACCTCGTGAAAGGCTATCCCCAAAAGCAGGAACACTTTATCACCCTGGCTTGAAAGCTTTCTGCCTGCAAACATCCCCCTAAGGGCAGGGAGAGGAAAAACCGTTCTGAAAGCTGAGGTGCAGGAGGATGCCACAGCCCCAGAGGACGCCTCTCTGAGCAGTAAAATCCCATCCCTGACACAGCGGGGCTGCCGAGCGCTTCCCAGAAACAGCCCAGTGCTGCCCCAGGGAACGGGAATTGGTGGGGCTTAGGGGCACGTCGTGTTCCTTACAAAGCTGGGAGTTGCTGTGAAGTCAAAGGGATGAGGCAATTAACACAAGCGAATGTAGCTCAGATCCACATTTGCTCAGCTGCTCCTCAGAAGAGTTCCCCATTTTCCTTCTCCCACAAGTCAATTTACTCAGGGAGATCAGGCTCTTCTCCAGATAAGCACATTGACTTTAAAATAAAGTGTGTGCCAACAGCTGCAGCACCGAGACTGAAGCAGACAGAGACGTGGCACTGAATGATAATTAAATACATTTTCATCATCTGTCATTTTTTACTGCAGGTGCTGGTGTAATAAATCTGAGCTTGACTCTTTTGTCAGCTGGCAGCGAACACATTTTAACGTGAAATCTCAGGGGATGAATTAAGAGTCACTTGGCCTTGTACAGGAGGGAGGATTCTACCTCTAACATGCCAAGTGGGTAACTTATACCTGATTGCTTTCATAATACTTTTATTATTTTGATGATACGCGTCTGATGTAGTGTTTCAATCCACTCCTACAGGCTACACGAGCGCAAACATCCCCATCCACCTCCGAGCCCCGTGCCGTGGATCAGCAGCTCCACCTCCGCTGGCTTTTCTCACGTCCCGCTGGGCGATGTGCTCGGGATGGGGTCTGCAAACACCTCGGCACCCGGGCTGACAACGCCGTGCCATTTCCAGGTATTTCTGAACCACACAACACCGCGTGAGATCAGCGGGCACGCTAATTAAAAACTACAGACCCAACGCACTCCCCAGCAGCCAGCTCATTTCGTAGCTTCTACGTGCTTCATCCCAAATAACCGTGAGGCTTCCCCAAGAACGTTTACTTGAGATTACTTCGAGGCAGCGCCAGGCAGCAGAGAGCACAGCTGAGAGAAATTTAAATTTTGGACAGAGGTGAGCGACAACAGCGGCTTACACGCATTTCAGGAGGCAGAAGGCACTAAAGCAGGGCACGGATGTGGTTTGTGCCTCAGCCAAGCACCATTGCAGGTACACAAACAGCGAAATGTTGTGAGTGAACAAAGCTGAGTGGCCTCTGGAGCTTTCCCTTCTGGTCAGAGGGCAATCCACCCGCTGGGAAGCCTGCATGTGGCACCCTTCCCGAGCACCTGGGGCTGGTGCTCTCAGAAAATCGCCCCCCAGTGCAGCTGTATTAAGCTTTAAGGTTTTGGTCAAAGAGAACAAAGTCAAGGGAAAAAAGGCAAACACACGGAATTTGCAAATTAATTTAATTAGAACAACCACAACACAGAAAATTAAACATTTAAGTTAATATGCCTGTAAATCAAACGTGCAAATCAAGTGCGCAGTGCATTAGCAGCTTTGTTTCCCTGAAGATACGCGCAGATGGTTCCTAACTCCTCCCGTGGAGGACAGCAAAGGGGAAGTCTGGCATGAACTCTTCCTTCTTCTCAGCTGGACACAGCTCCCGGCATCTCACACCTTACCTTGAGCATTTGTATCAATCCTCTTTCCTGGGAAACACGAGCCTCTCATCCAAGGGATACTTGCGGATTTAAGTCAAAGTTGTGCTTTTGTTTCCAAGTGTGAATGATGAGAAATAAATTAAGATTTATTAAGTGCTCAGGGCTCCAGAGCACTTCCACGGTTCTGCAAGTAACAAATGCTCCCGGAGCAGCAGCACCAAGCATGCTGGACAACCCCTGGCACGAGGAACCCCTGCCCCCACGAAGAGACAAGCCAGCCCTCCAGGAGGTGCGCCAACATCCACACGCACCGGAAGAGAGGAAATGGCACAGGCAGGGCTTTGGTCAGTTTAGGATGTGAAGTTTTATTAATTAAATCCTTATTAAGCATTGCCCTCTCGTTTATGAGCCGGTTCCATTGTCACAAGGGCGGTATGGGATGGAGCGAGGGGACAGCGATGTGCAACAGGAAAACGCAGGAGATTGATGCTGCAGAATTTTTACAGCTCAATTCAAAGATTCCTCACTCATTCATAAAAACCTGCCAGAGAAACGCCTGAGCTAGAACAAGCCCCAGGCCTCGTCCCCTGCCCTCAGCAGCCGCTGGCTGCGTGCGCTGAGCAGTGCCCAGCACCAGCCCCCTGCTGCTCTGCACCACGCCGATGTGAAGACCCAAAGCCAACGGGAAAAGGGTTTCTGTAAAGGAGGATATCATCTGAATCGGGATCTCACTCTTTTGTCTGCAATTAGCCTGAATGCAAGATGCTTCTCGTTTTGGTTAAGCAAACCCTGCTGGAATCACACCACGACACTGCTGCCAACCCTTCCCCTGCCCCTGCTGCTCTCCGGCTCCAGCTGCAGCCTGTGCCCAAACCCACCCACCTGTACAGGTGCTGCCTTCAGCTAAGCCAAACTCTGCTTTTTTTCCTTTAAAATACAACCCTAACCCCAATAAAATCCACTCAGCTGGTCTGCAGGAAGAAAAGCACCAAATTTAACAGCTTCCTCACCCTCTCCAGCAAGTCAAAGTCTTGTCCATCCCGTGACATGGGATTTTCAGAAGAGACTTCTCCAAAATAACACAAATGGCCCATCCACAGAGCTGCCAGACCCACGCGTGGTGCTGGGCACTGCTGGAGGATTAACGAGCATCACAGCAGGCTGCAGCAGCCGTGGCCATGGAACAAGCAGGTTTAAATGGCCCAAAGCCTTTGGAGCTGATGTGGATTTCGGCACGTGAGGGCAGCGCAGGGTTTCCTCTCAGCTGCCCTACAAGGGCAGAGCAGAGCAAACGCCTGACATTAACCACACCACATTTCACCTGGACAAACAAGGCACGATATTCTAAAAGATGGGGATTTTTTTCCTTGAAGGCAGTAAAGCTGGCTGCCATTTTCTTCTGATTTTGAATGAAACTTTTCAGGTATCTGTCCCACACCACCAAAATTACAGCAATGCAGAGAACACCCCCCTCCCCCTTTGCTATTTGAAATAATCATCTTGTTTTACCTTCCTTCATCCAAATACATCAATTAAAAATGCATCACTCTAATTTATACGACAAAGATTACTGGCAAGGTTATTACACTGCCGGCAGTAACTCCAGCCTAACCTCATTTTCTGTATCAGTGGGGTAGAACAAGTCTAAAATGGAACCATTTTATTTTGCTCTGTGTTCTGCACCCTACAGCGACTTGTCATTTTATTTAAGGTCAAAAAAGGATTTCTGCCCATTATGTTGGTAGTAACAAAAAGCCAGAAAAAAGAAATTCCAAACTTTTCCCCCATTTCCCTTTTACAAAAAAATAACAAGTATTAAACAGATACGAGCTCACAGCAGAACCAAAGGACCTGGAAGCAGCCCTGGTTTTATGCTGCACGTGCAGAGCAGAGCGAAGCGGTCGGAGGGAAGGAGGGCAGCTACAGGCACCCATGGCCAGTGTGCCCTGGGCCTTCATCAGTGGGTGCCGACATCCTCCTCGCCCCTGGGAGGCACGTGCCAGCCTCTTAACCCAGCGACAAAACCTTCCCTTGGAGAACGATGCGACGTTATCTGAACTATCCCAGCACCCTCAGTACAGCCAGCAGGGATAAAAACTTGGACTTACTGCACAGAACATGCATTAGGGCAGAGATAATACGATAAAAATTAAAGGACCAAGCGAACTGTTTGCCTGGCTCATCCCCACGGCTGCACCTTTGCCTTCTCAGCACAGTGACGACCTTCCCCACGATGGAGAGGGCTGACTGCCCTGACGACCTGCCCATGACTGCTGAAGACGAAGCCACGGGAGGTGGAAGGCAGCTTGGCTGCGATGCTGGAGCTCTTGCATCCGAGCATCCCTGTGTTCAGGGATTTCGGGAAGGATCACCAGCTGTAACATAAGCCTGCGCTGAGCACCTCCGGGACCTGGACCATCCCAAATTAACTCAGACCGGTGACAGCAGAGAGAGCAAGAAGAGAATCAAAAATACTGAAGCAAAATCATCCTCCAGATTTTTACTACAAAGCGTACGAGAACTCAGTGTGTGATGACTGAAGCTTGCCAGATGTACCGAGCTATTTATAACACGAGCACTTACATAATTAGAGCTTGACAAGCCTGAGCATCACAGCACTTTATTTATCCAGACAAACCTATATTAATGCTCTATCTTTAAATGGTAGAAATCTGGCAAATATTTAACTAAGCGCTAAATTCAGTGGTTACACCTCTTTGAATTTGGGTGTTCGGGCTGGTTCTGCATTGAGAATGACAAAGCTCACACATTTAGATACACTCTGAATTATCAGTCTGAGCTCAGGCACCACCCCAGTACCAAATCCCCGTCTGGAGGAAGGACCAGGACAGCTCCCACGTGGCCGCGAGGTCAGGCTGCTCCTGCCTTTGTCACCGCAGCTGACACGAGCAGCTTTTGTTTGTACCTGAGGCTTCTACTGAGGGATCACAACTGAGCAGTGCTGTGATCCCCATC